AAAGCTCCAACTGCTGGATGTAGAGTCCAAGGGCTGCTCAATAAGGATCAAAGGGCCACATGAGGCCCCGCCGGGCATATACCTCTGTCAGCTTTTTATTAATTACCATTGGGACAGGATGTGAAGGAAAATATCTCTCAACTGAGCCACAGGCAGCAATGAAAGCCTTACAAGGGATCTAAGCCTTCCCTGCTCTGTCCAAAACTAAAATAAGATTTGTCTAGAGTTATGATTTGAGATCTGATTTGTACAGACTGACCCACATACGTAAGAGAATGAGCCAGCCTCTGAGGGCAGGGGGTGTGTCACTTGATACAACATGTTTATGATCTGTGACATCAGAAACTCATTGAACCAAAGTACATGTCATTTACTTTTTGAATCCAGCAAAGAGTACAATTCAGAGAAAGCAGAACAATGAAAGCAAAAATGACTGAAGATCCCGTCTGACGTATGACAGGGCTTAGTAACTCTTATACTACTTACTAAGCAAACCATTCCCAGCCAGGGTCCCATGGAACACTAAGGTTCCTCCAGAGGTTGTGGATGGTTGGGTTGGGTTGGATGGTTGAGTTGTGGATGGTTGGCCTCCTACCTGATGGTGCCTGCATAGTTCCAGGGCCAATGCCACTTGGCAGATCCAGCGGCATGACACCAAAGATCTTTCTCGCTATCGGGGGTATTATGACCACCATTTTAAGGAGGACATTCTTTCCATTGACCACCACTGTAAGTGGGCATTCTTGCTATTGATCACCAATGTAAGGGGTGTTCTTTGCATTGACCGCCAATGTAAGGGGGGATTATTTACATTGACCACCACTGTAAGGGGGCATTATTTGCATTGACCACCACTGTAGGGGGGCATTCTTTGTATTGACCACCACTGTAAGGAGGCATTATTTGCATTGACGACCAATGTAAGGGGGCATTCTTTGCATTGACCACCACTGTAAGGAGGCATTCTTTGCATTGACCACCACTGTAAGGGGGTATTATTTGCATTGACCACCACTGTAAGGGGGCATTCTTTGTATTGACCACCACTGTAAGGAGGCATTCTTTGCATTGACCACCAATGCAAGGGGGCATTCTTTGCATTGACCACCACTGTAAGGGGGCATTCTTTGCATTGACCACCACTGTAAGGAGGCATTCTTTGCATTGACCACCAATGTAAGGGGGCATTCTTGCTATTGATTACCAATGTAAGGGACATTCTTTGCATTGACCACCAATATAAGAAGGGATTATTTCCATAGACCACCGCGGTAAGGGGGCATTCTTGGCACTTATCACCAATGTAAGGGGCGTTCTTTGCACTGACCACCAATGTAAGGGGGGATTATTTCCATTGACCACTGTAAAGGGGATATTCGTTCCATTGACCATCACTGTAAGGGGTGCATTTTTTCCATTGATCAATGTAAGGGACATTCTTTGAATTGACCCCCAATGTAAAGGGGGTGGGATTCTTTCCATTGATCACTAATGTAAGAAGGTTTTCGATTGACCATCAATGTAAGGGGAGCATTTTTCCACTGACCACCAATGTAAGGGGAGCATTCTTTCCACTGACCACCAATGTGAAGGTGGGTTCTCTTTTCATTGATCACAAATGTAAGGGGAGCATTCTTTCTACTGACCACCAATGTAAAGGTGGGTCTGCTTTTCATTGACCACAAATGTAAGGGGGCCTTCTTTCTATTGGCCACCAATGTAAGGGGTGGCCCTCTTTCCATTGACCACCAATGTATAGGGCATTCTTCCACCTTACCCCAATTGATTTAATTTAGTAGGAATTATCTGAGACTTGAACATTATTTCAAGGGTTCCCCTGGGGGAAAAGGTTGAGAAAGGCTGCACTTAGCTGTACAAATTCCTTTAAAGCATTTCTGAATCTAATCAAAACTTTTTTTTATATGGATAGAGTAGGGAAGGTTTACTGAGTCATAAAGATGACACACAATCGTGTGACACAGTAGAGACTTCGAGAGTAAACAGCCAACTGTTGACTGGAGACCGAATACCAGAAGAGCCTGATAGACTAACCCTTTATCTTCCCTTGTATTATATATGAGTGATTCCACCATCATAGATCAGTATTTTGTAGCATATACTTATATTTCTAAATTGTCAGCTCAGAGGGTTTAATGAAAAAGAAGAAAAAGGTAACATAGGCACCACTTCCAAATGTTTTAAAAAATTAGAAAAATGTTTATTTATTATATTAAGAATAAATAATATATAACATGGACACCGCCAGCCCTGTCTCCGCCGATTCCTGCAATGGCTTCCAATAGCCCAATAAATAAAACTGAAAAAAATAACCACAACAAAATACAAAGCCATCCAGAACTCTGCCCCGAGCTACATCACAAACTTCATCTCAAATTATCATCCAAACCGTCCTCTCCGCTGCTCCCAGGACCTCCTTCTCACTAGCCCCTTCATCACCTCCTCCAATGCTCGCCTCCAGGACTTCTCCATCCTCTGGAACTTCCTACCCCAATCTGTCCAGCTAGCTAGACATGTGCAGCCGCAAAACATTTTGTTTAGTTTCGTTTCGGATTTAGTTTTTTTTGTATTTCCAAAATCGGGTCCTGTATGTGTTTCGTTTTGGGTTTTGAAATCGGATCGGATTCGTAATTCGGATCGGATTCGGAATTTGGACGAATTGCCGAAATTTGGGGTTTTGCGAATGTTCGTACACAGTTGACATTTCTGTTTGCTGTGCTCTTGTGTCTTCACTATTAAAGGGGCATTAAAATCCTTTTCTTAATTTTTTTTTATCCGTTCAAACGTTGACGGTGCATGCGCAGGAACATGAAGTAATGCTCAGTTTTCATCTTCACATGCTATGAAATCCTCTTTTTTAAGTCATTTTTGTAAATTTCTAATTTAGTTTCTCTTAGGACGAAATTCGTACTGAATCCGAAATTTCGGAAACCCGGGAATTTTGGATTCGGATGCTTTCTGATGAATTCGGACATGGTACATTTCGGAAATTCGGGTGCTCCGAATCCACGAATTTCCGAAATTCCGTCCGAATTTCGATTCGGAACGAAACGAATCGCACATGTCTACAGCTAGCTCTTACTTTCTACTCTTTTAGGTGATCCCTGAAAGTTCTTCTCCTCAGGAAAGCCTATCCCACCTCTGCCGGAAATTTTACTTTCTCCATCTTCTCATTCCCTCACAGTTAATACCTTTTGAATCACTTGCCCCTCCTTTTAGATTGTAAGCTCTCATCAGCCGGGCCCTCCTAACCCTTTTGTATTGAATCGTATTGTAACTGTACTCCCTTTATGTAGGAAACAGCACACCTTCCCTCCCATTAAAAACATGACAACCTTGCCCACAAAAGCTAAATAGACAAACAACACCCACTTGAATCCTAATCTCAACCTCGGAAAGCTGTTTAAGCAGCAATGCTAAATGAAGCTGAAATAGAGCATAAAATGGTGGTCTGAGACCATGAGAGGTCAGCATAGATCATGTATCACCCTCTGCATGAAAGTCCTCCATGTAATAATAAACATTCCTTTCATCCAAACAGTTTATGTGTATATAAGTGCATGCGGTCCCCTTTTGATTGAGAGGCTGCAATCCTTTGTATCTTATCACAGGTATAACAAACTAAATCAAATCGCTATATATGATTTATATGCAAAGTGACACTTCCATAGAGACACATGCAGTCAGCACAGTCTGCACCAGCAGATATTGTATCCACAAAGTTCCATCTCCTACTGTAGGGAGATGCAATAATATAGAGGTTGGAGATAAGGTTTGATGTAGTAGTTGAACTGCACATTTTTAGAGTGATCTATATATCAGACCAAAAGGTCTGAGGAAAGGGGACAGAGGGATTTGGTTTCAATAGACGGACAGTCGTTAAAAATAAGGGACAGTTTGGTGCTATGCTAACTTCTAAGTGACATTTATTGTCACTGTATAAGAGGAGCACAAAATTATCCAGGGGATCATGACAACCAAGAAAATAGTATTTTCAGCCTACTTACTACCTCACGTTTAACCAGGGTAATTGGCCATTTATATTAAGTTGTACAAAAAAAACAGAACTTTTCTTTTTTTTGGATGGAGTAGGATATGGATAGAACCCTTGTCAGGATGAAGTTGGATAGGCATAGAACCCTTGTCAGGATGGAGTAGGATATGGATAGAACCCATATCAGGATGGAGTAGGATAGGCATAGAACCCTTGTCAGGATAGAGTAGGATATGGATAGAACCCTTGTTAGGATGGAGTAGGATAGGCATAGAACCCTTGTCAGGATGGAGTAGGATAGGCATAGAACCCTTGTCAGGATGGAGTAGGATAGGCATAGAACCCTTGTCAGGATGGAGTAGGATAGGCATAGAACCCTTGTCAGGATGGAGTAGGATAGGCATAGAACCCTTGTCAGGATGGAGTAGGATAGGCATAGAACCCTTGTCAGGATGGAGTAGGATAGGCATAGAACCCTTGTCAGGATGGAGTAGGATAGGCATAGAACCCTTGTCAGGATGGAGTAGGATAGGCATAGAACCCTTGTCAGGATGGAGTAGGATAGGCATGGAACCCTTGTCAGGATGGAGTAGGATAGGCATAGAACCCTTGTCAGGATGGAGTAGAATATGGATAGAACCCTTGTCAGGATGGAGTAGGATAGGCATAGAACCCTTGTCAGGATGGAGTAGGATAGGCATAGAACCCTTGTCAGGATGGAGTAGGATAGGCATGGAACCCTTGTCAGGATGGAGTAGGATATGGATAGAACCCTTGTCAGGATGGAGTAGGATAGGCATAGAACCCTTGTCAGGATGGAGTAGGATAGGAATGGAACCCTTGTCAGGATGGAGTAGGAAAAACTGTATATATAAAGCTCCAAATGTTAAAATATAAAAGATATTAGTTTTTATGTAATGATTTGATGTCTCTTTTGTTTGGATGGAGCCCTTCAATGTTTCTTTTTTTATTTTGTGTCATGTTGCAGGTTTTGGGAAGCTGCCTACACCCACCAATGTCACGATCGATTCTGTAAACTTCAAGAACATTTTAAGGTGGAACCCCCCACCTGGCTTCACGGAAGATGAAGATGTAAAATATACAGTGCAATATCAACTGTAAGCTGTTTATTTATTCTGATTCAAGCGGGGAAAGGTGGGGTAGGTAAACTCCGTCCCTCCAGCTGTGGTGAAACTTCAAATCCAATCATGCCTCTGGGAGTCATGCCTGGGGGGCTGTCAGAGTCTTGCAATGCCTCATGGGACTTGTAGTTACACCAAAGCTAAAGGGCCAGAGTTTGCCTACCCCTTAGAACCTGTATCAGATTTTTACCGAAATTGGAAGTGCAAAGTTAGTTACAGGCAATAAAAGTAGATTTTTTTAGCAGCTCCAGGGTGAAATAGCCCTTTGTCCGTATCTTTGGTGTCTGTATTCATGCTGAACTAATTCCTCTCACTTCCTGTTAGGTCCTCAAGACAGGAATTAAGTAGAAATAACTCCAAGACAGACAGTAATAAATACCTGCAGGCTGAACCAGCATCTAGAGCAATCATACTAAATGCCTCACAGGATCCCTCCACATTTATCATTCCCGTGCACAGTTCAACAGTACCAAGCCCTGATGAAGGGGACCTTTTGAACCCTCGAAACACGTTGGCTTTCTATGACATAAAAGTCTAATTACAATGGAATCTGGAGATACGATCTGCTTTTGGCTCTTTCCTGCATGCACATACAGTACCTACTTGAGCAAAGGGTCAACCTTCGGCCACCACTCCTAAGAGAGATTCCCAAAGAGAATCACGAGCAGCTGTACATAGCAAACAATCAACCTCTATCTTTCATTTTCAAGTTCTCCATCAGGTCATCTCTAGTGATTGACAGCAGCAGAGGGCGGGTGCAATAGCCAGCTTGCTATTGGATGTTGCAAATTGAAATAGCCAATAGAAATCTAGCTATGCATTCCTATGCAGTTTTTTTTTTTATTCTGACGGCAGCAGCTGTCAGAATACTAAAAAAAAAACATGCAGATAGCAAATACGCTATTGCTTCCTCTGCTATCTGCCATCATTTCAGTGGGGTGCTCTCTCCTTCCTGCATTACAATGAGAGTTTAGCAGAGCCAGAGGTGATATGAAAGCCGATTCTGCTGAGCTCTCATGGTACTGACAGTTCAGCATCCCCTGGTTACTTCGTAACCAGGGGACGCTGATATGTTAGTACCATGAGAACTCAGCAGAGTCGGCTTTCATATCACCTCCGGCTCTGCTAATCGTTCTCTATTTTTTTTTCTACTTTTTTAAACTGTTTTTCTATTCTGTTTGGGACCACAGAGGTACCGAGCAGAATAGCCGAGCTAAATGCCGCTTGGCGGCATTCGGCTATTCACTCACTGCTGTTCGGCCCCAATAAGAATAGGCCCAACAGCAGTGAGTAGCCTGCTGGAGGTTCGGCTTAGCCGATCTAGATGTTGGATCGGCTGAGTAGAACTCCTTCTGCACTTCGGGTCGGCCGAACATGCTGAGCATTAGAAAAAAAAAAAAAAAGTTTCTGCAGCAGGACCTCCTAAACCTCCTAAATTTACAAAAGGTTAGATGCTGCTCCAGCCCCAATCAAAGCTGAACTCCAGGTGAACAGATGAAAAATACACAGATGGAATACAATTGCAGGAGTTGTTTTACCTGACAAATAATGTGTGTTTCTGTCCATTTAAAGTGACATTACAGTCAAACTTTTTTCCCCCTTTCCCAATCCTGCCGCTGGGACCTTAAATGATGTCTCTCAATCTGATCATCTTCTTCTTTCCTGTCCTTTTCAGCTGTCCCTCCAGTGCTGGGTGCGGGTCTCCCATCCAGCGATAACTCCTCTGTCCTCCTGTTCTCTGATGTCCCACATTGTCTGTGCGGGTGCACACTGCTCCATAGACTTACCTCGTGTCTCTCCTGGTCTCCCAGCCGAACATCTGAACTGCGCATGTGCCCGCCCCAAGATCCTTTGCGGCTGCCCGAGAAATTTTCAGATGTTCGGACGGGAGCGCACGGCGGAGACACAGGTAAGTATTAACCCTTTGAAAAAGTTTAGTTTTTTTGTAATCTTTTGCATATATCTTCTGCTTGCTAGTAGTAGATATATGGAAAAACATGCAAGGGTTTAATAACCCTTTAATTCTGAGATCTACATTGCTCTGCCACACAGCATGGTGCTCTCTGGTAGTCCAGAAGACCTGATTATACTCTGGTGCAGTTTAGTAAGGCTAGGTTCACATGTGGGCAATTCCCGACTGCGCAGCAATTGTGCACAAAACCGCGCAGATTGCCGGGCGGTCACGGAGCCGAACGTGCTGGCGGTGCCATTATTTTCGAATGGCACCCGAGTCGGGCCGTGCGGTTTTGTGCCGTGATTCCGTCCGTGCAATTGAACACGCGGCTAAAAAAAAAAAGCAGCACGTCGTGTGTCGCAAAATAAGGTACTTGTACCTTTTTTTAGTGATTGACATGCGGCTGTAACCCCATTGAAATCAATGGGGCCACGCGGCAATCGCTGTGTGCATCCGAACACGATCGCGCAGTACGATCGCTCAGATCGGAACCGTGCCTTACACTTACAGGTAGGGTTGCCACCTTTTCTTCCAGCAAAACCCAAACACTCTAGCTACACACAGAAATGTGCCGCTGCATGAAATGATTTATTCTTTAATACGGAGCTGAATTCGTTTTTGTATTTTTATCTGCTCGGAGTTCAGCTATAACCTGGGGTGAATTTTGCTGAATTCCTTTGGCTGTGTACGTACTTTGTCAAGAAACACGATTATGAAACTGACACTCTCCATTGAGTTACAATAATTCTTTTTTTTTTTTGCAGTGATTTCATTAAGCGCAGTGAATACTCTGCTGTCTGTGTGACTCAGCACCTGCAATGTGATTTAACATATATCACCTACAGATTTTATGCAAGAGTGAGTGCAGCAGTGGGTGACAACCAGTCGGACTGGGTGACAATACATTTTGACCCATACCTTGAAAGTAAGTCTATTTCATGTTAGTGGTGTGAGTAATTGGGTGGATGGCAACTTTCTTGGATGTTACCAAGGGCATAAGTTCAACAGTTTCTCATTTTGGAATATTTGGAGGAATTCCAAACTCCTTTGCTCGCACTCTGGTCAATTAGTCATGGGGAACACTGAAATAATACCTTGTAACAACTCTTTATTAACAGCATAGTCAAACGTTAAGGTAGTCCAAAACATGCCTTTACTAATGGCATTTCTGATTATCGTTTGGAAATCGTACGCGGCCGGTCTTTCGCACGAAAATAGAACTGTTGATGGTACATCACCGATTTTCGTTTTCGATATGGTGATGGAAATTTTTTCGATTGGTCAGGTTGGAAAATTTCTGGCCAAATGAAAATTGATGAATCAGTGGGGTTTTCGTTCGTCAACAATCTAAGCAAGAACACAACACATGCGCAAAAGGACATGGGATTGCAGGCGGTACATAATACAATAAATTAACATACATAAATAAATACACAAGAGACACCATTTGGATTGAAATTGGGCGCAGCACTTTTATTGGTTTAAAATAATTCAACTTTACTTAACATACCAAACCATCAATCTCAATCAACCAATAATTGCTTAGCCACTACGACTCAAGCAATACCAACATGAAGGACCGTACATCAATTAAGTCCTCCCTCACGTTGAGGGTGACAAACCACATAAAAAGCCACGGCATATATAATTGGAAAAAAAGGAGGGGGGAGGGGAGCTCGATGCGCTGTGAGTCCTGGACAAAAAATTTCCCGCCCAAACAGGTAAGGAAATTCTTAAAGGGGCAATGCTCTTAAAGGGGCAATGTACTTCTCCTCAGGCAACTGAGGAGAAATAGGAAGAAGTGGGGACCGCCGCAAACCCATGTTAGTGGCCACAAATAAATTGTCGGCCCCTTGTCCATTATTTCTGACGTTCATCAAAAATTGGCTGTTTAGTATGGTTAGCAAATTTATTCCAAAATCGACATTTGACTATGCTGTATTCGATCTATAATTGAACGAGGGTTTGTGGCAGAAACAAACATTTTCGACGGAAAATCTACCAGTGTATGGCCACCTTAACTCTCCAGGGGCTGATCCATTGCACAGGCCTCACCACCAGAAATCATGCAACTTCTGCAGACCATCAGATGTGAAAGACCCTGGTGTCCATCACTGCTGGGCTGGTGCTTTGACAGGCAGGCTCGGGTACAATTATTGACTCAACCATGTCCTTAAGCAGCATATGCGTTGAGCAGACTCTGTCTTTGTATTGGCACATGCATCAAGCAGAGTCAGTCCTCAAATTGGCGCATGTATCATGCATACCCTGTCTTTGGATTAGCACATGCATACAGCATACCCTGTTCTCAAATTCACCCATGAATTAACCCCTTCACGACCAGCGACGTACAGTGTACGTCGCTGGCATTGGGGCTGTTTAAACAAACTCAGCCGCCGGGACTATGTTTAAGCTTTTAAAGCCGACTGTCGGATTTACAGTAGAAGCGATTCTGGCGGCTCACCTGCCGTCAGATCGCTTCTACGGGCCGGTGAAGGTATCCCCCCGCGCCCGACACCCGTGCCTTGTTTCCTGGGCTCCGTTGCCCCTTCTATGGGCCCGGGATTGGCTTCTTTGGTGTCGGCAGGAAGCCGGGGAGGAGATGGACGAACCTCCGTTCGTCGATACCCTCCCCATTCTATGGGACCTTGAGCGATGCAGATTGCATCACTTCCGGTCCCATAGCTGTCAGTGCTCTGCTCCTGAAGCCCAGTTATAAGCTATTAAAGTGCGATCTGCACTTCAATCGCTTATGTGAAGTGTAAAGGTGACAATGGGGGTCTTTTGGACCCCCATCATCACGTTAACCTCCCTGGTGGTATGATTATCTCAGTACTTTTTCTTTCTATTTTTTACTTTTGAATTTCTCGCCAGTTCCGACCCCTGCAATGCCGGCGCTCGCAGAGAAGGAACCCGGAAGACGCCGAGTGTGGCTCGGGGTTACCGCTTTTGGTATGGAAAATTTACCCCAGAGCCACACTCGGGATTACCGCCAGGAAGGTTAAAGAGTACTTGTCACCACCATCTGCTATCACATGGGGGACTTGTAAACCTCCCTATGTGATAGCAATTAAAGTAAAAAAAAAAATAACAACAGTTTTTAACATTAACATTAAATAAAATAAATGTAAAAATAATGTAAATTTTTTTAAAGTCCCCGCCCCTGCGAGCATGCGCTTCTTCACGTAAACACGCGTCGTAAACACTACATATGAAAATCACGAACGCGATACACATGTTGGGTATCGCTGTGCATGCTGGAGTGAGAGCAATAATTCTCAGGATAATATTTTGGGGTATCTCTAAACTGATGACCTGTGGGGGCTTTTAAAAAGTTGTCTATGGACTTTTTGGGGTACTGAATTTTGTTGCCATTTCACACACAATTTTTAACCTGGGCATGTTGAGTATCTATTTACTCTTTGTAACCTCATCTGTTATATTTTATTAAATAAATGGGTATTTGTTTGTGTTTTGGGGCATTTAAAAGCATTTTTAATACAATTTTTGGGTTTGATAAGCAGTTGCGCTAATATCGTGCAACATAAAAATTTGCAACTGCTAATATTTTATTCTATAGGGTCTTGGCTTTCAGAAAATATATAATGTTTGGGGATTTTAAGTAATTTTCAGGCCTAAAATGTTGAATATAACATGGGTGCAAAAAATAAAAAAAGGCCTCAGTCATGAAGGGGTTAAAAAAGAACTATGGGGTAAGTGTTTTTCCCCATAGTTCTCTTTAGAGTCACGGGAGGACATATACTAGCGTCCTCCTGTGACCCAAAGCTCAGTATATAGCAGGCTATTGTCCGCAATATACTGTGAGTGTCGCAGCCAGGACGGATCCCAACATTACTGTCGGGATCCACCCAGCTGCGTGAGTGACAGTTGGCTCTGCCTATCTAGAGGCAGAGCCAGCTGTGCCTGCCCCCTCACCTCATAGATCTCTTTTAAGCATACCCTGTCCTCAAATGTATGCATGCATTGAGCAGAGCTTGTTCTTGAAATTATGCATGCATCAAGGTGACCATGTCTTATAATTGGCTCATGCATTGAGCAGACCCTGTCTTTGAATTTAATTATAGCTAATTTGCCTACAAACGTCAGGTGGTCATAATAATCTGGCCACTCAGTGTATATCATGCAGACCATATCCTCATATTGACACATGCATCCAGCAGACCCTGTCTTCGAAATGACTCATGCATTGAGTAGACCTTTTCTTCATATTGGCTCGTGTCCTTTCCCTAAGCCCTCGTTCACACCTGAACGTTTTGTAGCGCGTTCTACGCTCGACGAACGCTCTAAACAAATTACGAACAATCTTGGTACTGCCCACTTACTCTGCTTACTATGCATTGACCCACAAGTGCTATAATGGTAAATACAATCCTGGACATGCACTAGATAAGTGTTATTGAAATCCTGCAATTTATACAAATTGTTAGTATGAATAGATGAAGAACAATGGAACCTTTGTACAGTGACCTTGGCAGTCTTGTCTCTTATAAAGAACCAGATAACAGTCTTCCACTTATTGGAGTCATGCACAGCCTTGTATTCCCTTGTAGCAATATGAAACAGCTCTCCAAAGGTCACAGTTCATGATGGCGCAATAGTGTGAATGTTTCTTTCATCCATGATAGTTCTGTATGCTTCAAGCTGTGTACAATCCTGCAAGAGGTATTTCCAGGCTAAATGGCAGTGGATCTCACCAGCCAGGCTTAGCTCGTTAAATCAGTCCCACACAATTCTGGGTACTCACATAATATATTTTCCTCAATACCCCTGCTGCGTGACTGGGCATTACTGTTGCTGCACACTGTCTCTGGTCTTTGCACACCAGGGAGTGTTCCATGCTCTAACTCTAAACTGGTAGTCAACCTCACTTGTCCCTCACAAGTCAATACACATACTAGTATTGGTATCGGTGCTGATACTGAGTATTTGGGCAACTACTTGTACTTGCCCAAATACTCCCGATGCTTACTCCGATACCGTAACTTCCGGTATCAGGAAGCCGGGCTGCGAGTCATTACAGGCCACCGGCTTCCTGATTGGCTGGGAAGCCGGCTCCATGCTCCCTCGTCACTTGGTGACGAAAGAGCATGGAGCCGGCTTCCCTGCCAATCAGGCGGTGTGTTTTCCCGCAGTGTCCAGATGTATCCCCTGCACTCCTTACAGTGTTTAAGACCAGTGATGATCACGGATGGCGCCGTGCAAAACCAAGTCTTGATGCAAATGAAGGTCACCAGCACTCGATGAATACTTGTACTTGTATGAATAGATGTATTCATCTGAAAAGGTGCGTCACTTGCAAAAAACAACGTTTCGGGGCCACCCTGATGAAGGGACCCTGCGTGGCCCCTGTATTTTGGATTCAGCCACTGGCGTGTTCTGGAGGCAGCGCGCATGACGTCACATAACACCGCACATGTTGGGCGCCGCCATCTTGATGTATATCTAGGTCATGTGACGTCATGCTCCCCGCCTCCAAGATGGTGGCACGCATCCGCAGAACACACCGGTGGCCAACATGGCCACCGCACATTCTCAAACAAATTATTATGCGCCTGAATATATTTTTCGTATATTCGGGCATATAGTCATTCATTAATTTACATGTAGTCCGGGTTTTGTGTTCTGTTTTTTATTTTTACTTTTCTAGATACACTTACTTGAAAAAAGGGATCGGCATGACAACCTGACACTTTATTGTTATAGACTCTATTCTAGTTTGGCATTTATTGTTTACCACGTGTTTGCCTTCTGTTGTTTTATGTAATAAGAATACTTATATTGTGCCTACACGTTTAATACCTTTGAATAAAAGTTTTATTTTTATCATACTTTTTAATATGTTTCTTTGGGGCTTAACAAAATGGGAGTCTTTAAATGGTGCGAATATTGGAAAAATGGGTGTGGTTACTGAGGGGTGCGGACACTGAGGGGCACTGTAAAGTTTTCTCGCACAGGGCGCCTAAAGGCCTAAGGCCGGCCCTGGGTAGGACTGTGTAGGAAGCCTTCCTTGCAATTCCTGCCTCAGAAACATAACAGGAACTAAGAGGAGCTCTCTCCAAAGTGAGGGCATATCGCAGGTCACTGGAACAGGCTCTCCCATTAGATGATTTCCCTTTATCTCCTGTTCCTGTGATGACCCAAAATTGTGAATTTCTTATCACATCCTGAACTGGAAACAATGGTAATCATAACCAATAGAGTGGGGGAATCGCCCCAGTGCGGACACAGACAGTATTGCCAGCTGCACTAACCCTTCCGTCTTCTATACAAAACTATAGAACGTTTTAGCATTACATACTCTTTCAGTAATGTTGATAAAAATGTCAATGGGTACTTGAGATTAGGTGACCCAAAACTAAGAACACTGGCCTAGGGCAACCAGATCAGCTTCATTTTTATGGAGTCTATCCTGAATTCTAATCTTGTTCTATTTTCTTCTCCAGCGGTGATTGGTCCACCAGAAGTTGTTGTTTCCCCCAGGTTTGGCCACCTGGACATCAGTATGTCTGGTCCTTATCTTGAGTCTAATAGTGAAAAAGGCTCCATAAAAGAAAAATATGGTGAACTCATTTACAGACTGCTTTACTGGAATGAAGAAGACCCTTCTAATGTAAGAATTGTTATTAATAATGCCAAAGGGGCAACTGCATGCTTGAAGGTAGCCTGTGTATCCCTAACCAAGGGTTAGTGTACATTGTCATATACAGTGCATTTGTGATACTTGTACTGTACCTTTGCCACCCATTTATAGACCCCTTATACACATGCTGCCCACTTTCATACCCTCCACACTCTGCTCCTGCACATACTGTTCACTGTCATACCCTGTACACTCCTCTCCTGCACATACTGTCCACTGTCATACCCTGTACACTCCTTTTTTGCACATCCTGCGTCACACTCCTCTCCTGCAGATCATACCCTCTGCACTCCTGTCCTGCACATACTTCCCACTGTCATGCCCTCTGCATTCCTCTACTGCACATACTGCCCATTGTCATTCCCTCTGCACTCCTCTCCTGCACATACTGCACATCATACCCTCTGCACTCTTCTCCTGCACATACTGCCCACTGTCATGCCCTCTGCATTCCTCTCCTGCACATACTGCCCATTGTCATTCCCTCTGCACTCCTCTCCTGCACATACTGCACATCATACCCTCTGCACTCTTCTCCTGCACATACTGCCCACTGTCATGCCCTCTGCATTCCTCTCCTGCACATACTGCCCACTGTCATGCCCTCTGCATTCCTCTCCTGCACATACTGCACATCATACCCTCTGCACTCCTCTCCTGCACATACTGCCCACTGTCATGCCCTCTGCACTCCTCTCCTGCATATACTGCCCACTGTCATGCCCTCTGCATTCCTCTCCTGCACATACTGCAGATCATACCCTCTGCACTCATCTCCTGCACATGCCGCCCACTGTCATGCCCTCTGCACTCCTCTCCTGCACATACTGCACATCATACCCTCTGCACTCCTCTCCTGCACATCATGCCCGCTGTCATGCCCTCTGCATTCCTCTCCTGCACATACTGCACGCTGTCATGCGGTTTGCTTTCCTCTCCTGCACATAGTGCACATCATACTCTCTGCACTCCTCTCCTGCACATACTGGCCACTGTCATGCCCTTTGCATTCCTCTCCTGCACATACTGCACATCATGCCCGCTGTCATGCCCTCTGCACTCCTCTCCTGCACATACTGCACATCATACTCTCTGCACCGTTCTCCTGCACATACTGCCCACTGCCATGCCCTCTGCATTCCTCTCCTGCACATACTGCCCACTGTCATGCCCTCTGCATTCCTCTCCTGCACATACTGCACATCATACCCTCTGCACTCCTCTCCTGCACATACTGCCCACTGTCATGCCCTCTGCACTCCTCTCCTGCATATACTGCCCACTGTCATGCCCTCTGCATTCCTCTCCTGCACATACTGCAGATCATACCCTCTGCACTCATCTCCTGCACATGCCGCCCACTGTCATGCCCTCTGCACTCCTCTCCTGCACATACTGCACATCATACCCTCTGCACTCCTCTCCTGCACATCATGCCCGCTGTCATGCCCTCTGCATTCCTCTCCTGCACATACTGCACGCTGTCATGCGGTTTGCTTTCCTCTCCTGCACATAGTGCACATCATACTCTCTGCACTCCTCTCCTGCACATACTGGCCACTGTCATGCCCTTTGCATTCCTCTCCTGCACATACTGCACATCATGCCCGCTGTCATGCCCTCTGCACTCCTCTCCTGCACATACTGCACATCATACTCTCTGCACCGTTCTCCTGCACATACTGCCCACTGCCATGCCCTCTGCATTCCTCTCCTGCACATACTGCCCACTGTCATGCCCTTTGCATTCCTCTCCTGCACATACTGCCCACTGTCATTCCCTCTGTACTCCTCTCCTGCACCTACTGCACCCTGTCATACCCTCTGCACTCCTCTCCTGCACATACTGCCCACTGTCATTCCCTCTGCACTCCTCTCCTGCACCTACTGCACCCTGTCATACTGTCTGCACTCCTCTATATCCCCAACTTTTTCTGTTGTGGAACGGGCTCACCTTTGTTAATATGAGTACAACCTTCATCCTTTACAGGTTCTGGGTTTAAACACCTCACAAAGTTCAGAAACATTGGCTACGTTGGAGCCGTGGAGCAGCTACTGCCTGAAAGTACAAGCTTATTTCCCGGAGAATGAAAAGGAAGGACAATTCAGCCCAATATTCTGTGAGAAAACTACTGATGATGGTAAATATTATTATTATTATAATATTATCAGGGGCTCCATTTACAACTTCCCTCAGATTTGCTGTATGTAGAACCTATCCTTAAAGTGTCTAAAACCCGGGAACAAAAATGTCCTATATTGCCCCTTACCAGTCCTTAGATGAGGTCGCTGCGTTAGTTTTTTTTTTTTTTTTTTACTTTTCACCTGATGATACTGCAAGTAACACACTTTCTGTCCTAGGGTGGCAATGCTCACTCGCTGTATCTATGGAGGAGCAGCATTGTCTCCCTGTGTTAGAACTACAGAACACCTCCTCCTCTCCATAACATCAGGAGAAGATGTTCTATAGTCCACAGACACCTGAGCAGGGGTGATAATAGTGTTTGTGATAGTGCTGCAGAGTGCACAGGGCAGCACTGGATTTCTGGCAGGATCAACAGGTATTTTTTGCACTTATCTAACAGAAATAACAAATGCTTTAATGGTATAATACGGTTAATAGACCAAAATGGAGCAAATGAGAATTGTTATAGTTATACTTTAAATGATAACAATTAGTATGTGACTTATGAGTTGTTTAAGCACTGTGTAGGTAGCCCCAATACCAGTGCAAATCTAAGCTTGAGTCTGCTCGTGTGTGCACTAGTGATTTTCTGTAGCCTCGTAGCTGTAAATCTGCAGTGTGAGATCTCAGGCACTGCTGCCTCTGACTGCTGGTCTCTGGAGATATGGAGTGAGAATTGGTGATGTCACTACTGTGCTCTTCACTGTTCTCCTAGCTGGAGAGGAAGCTGTGCCTAAGGACCTGCACTGCATGCATCTCCCTGCTCCATTCACTCTGAGTATCTGGATGAAAGGTTACTGCAGTCAGTGCAGAGCTGGTGCTAATAGTAACCAGTCCGGGTTACATATTCCTTCTCTGCAGAAACATAAGAAAGAGATTGGAATGGTGCTGCAGGCTTAGGACATTTCTGCCAGCTGCTAAACACCAGAAGTGGAATCCTTCCGCTGGATTTGATGTATACTTACATTGCATCTGAATTTCAGGGAGAATACCATGGTGGCAGGTCGCTGCCGCATTCCTCATAATGATGCTCGTTACAATGACTGCAACCCTTGGCTTTTGCTTCTTCGGTATCACAGCATACAGGAAATATTCATCATTCCCGTCATATTCCATCCCAGAACATCTGAAAGAGGTCAGTATTCTACAGGCAGGACTTGTGTTGTGTTTTCATCTATCTATCTATCTATCTATCTATCTATCTATCTATCTACTATTTATCTATCTACCATCTATCTATCTATCTATCTATCTACTATCTATCTATCTATCTATCTATCTATCTATCTTCTATCTATCTATCTATCTATCTATCTATCTATCTATCTACTATCTATCTATCTATCTATCTATCTATCTATCTACTATTTATCTATCTAGCTACTATCTATCTATCTATATATCTACTATCTATCTATCTATCTACTATCTATCTATCTATCTATCTATCTATCTATCTATCTATCTATCTATCTATCTATCTATCTA